CCTGAGCGACACCACTCGTTACTGGTCTCCAGCTGAACATTGAGCCATTTACCGTAACTCTTTGGGTGCAGCCAGGCACAGAGGTGAGACTGGTCTGTAGTTCCCCGTATCTTCCACCTTCACCTTCTTGAAAATGGGGGTTATATTTCCCTTCTTCCAGTCATCAGGAACTTCACCTGACTGCCATGAATTTTCAAATATGATGGACAGTAGCTCAGCAACTTCATTCTCCAGCTCCTTCAGGACCTGCAAATGGATTTCATCAAGTCCCATGGACTTGTGCACGTTCAGGTTCTTAAGGTGGTCTCGAACCTGATCCTCTCCTACAGTGGGCCTAAGGTCTTCATTCTCACTGTCCCTGCATCTGCCTTCCAAGGCTTGAGTGGTTTGGTCTCAGCATTTGCTAGTGAAGACTGAGGCAAAGAAGTCATTAAGAACCGCAGCCTTTTCCAAACCCAGGGTAGCCAGTTCTCCCGATAGCTTCCAGAGAGGGCCCACGTTGTCCTTAGTCTGTCTTTTATTTGCTACGTACCTAGAGAAGCCCTTCCTGTTATCTTTCACGTCCCTTGCCAGATTTAGTTCTAACTGGGCCTTAGCTTTCCTAACCTGGTCCCTGGGTTCCCGGACAACATTTCTGTGATCTTCCCAGGCTGCCTGTCCTCGCTTCCACCTTCTATAAGCTTCTTCTTTCCCTCTGAGTTTCCACAGCAGTTCCTTATCCATCCATGGAGGTCTCCTGGACCTCCTGCTGCACTTCCTTCTAGGCGGGACACAATACTCCTGAGCATGTACAACCTTTGCACTGTTAAAGAGGAAATCTTTGTTAGGTCAGTGGTATTTTTTTTTCCCCAGTGATTTAATGAAGTCAAGATGAGACCTACAGGTTCCCGGGTTCTTTTATTCTAGTCACAGCTATACTTAAAATGAAAGATCCTGTTTGAAAGTCTCAGCAACATAATGTTTGGCAGGGTGAACCAAAAGCTAATAACATCAAACTACAAAAATGGTAAGCTTTCAGTCAAAGAGGAAGTAAGATAGAAATGCATAGTGGTCTTTTTTAAACATTTGGACTCACCAGTTTTCTTCCCAAACTGTAACTTCAGTAATTCTTCTTTGTCCTTTCTCAGCTGTAATTAAGGTCATAGACAGTAAACATAAACAGAAAATAAAAGCAGAATAGCAAAGGAAAAAAGTAAAGCTGTCAAACTATAAGAATTTATGCAGGCAAAAGGGCACTTTGAAAAATTCTTTATGATGTGGGGTGATGCGAGGAAGATACATACCTTGAAGTTTATGGAACTGACTGTTGTGAGTTGAATTAGAGGTTCGGTGTAACTAGGATTACTAGAACTTGGGTTCATTATTTCCTCTTTAATATAGACCCCTGTGCTATTTCCAAACTGGGAGGTATGTATAGCAGAAATATTAAACTAAAAATAAATTCCAGATTTTAAAAGTAATTTCTAGTATCTTGGTTTGCTTGTTGACAGTATTGTGCTTTGACACAATTAATCACTAGCTGCCGTCACAGATGTATTAATGTATGCTGTATCTTAAAATGCTAATCAGGAATTGCTCTTTGGTTTATCCTTATAGCCGTCGATCCGGCCAGTATACAATGAACCATGACCATTCCAAGAAGACCCCTGATGGAGCATCATTTGACCGCTCAGGATCTCAGGACTCCTTGGATGAACTGTCTATGGATGATTACTGGAAAGAACTTGAAAATATCCATGAAACCAGAGGAAATAATCATGAAGAACGAGTAGCACTTGTAATGAAAGAGCCAGATGGTAATTAAAGCAGTTCTTGTGAATGATCATCAGTTTGCTGATTTTAGGGATTTTTCTTTAAGTCTTATTTAAAGGAGATGGCACCCACCAAACACACTTTAATCAAAAAAGAGGTCACTCTGCTTCTTTGCTGAACATCCACATTGAAAATTATGTTGTTTTTAATGCATGTCACCAGAAACAGGCAGTGGCCTGCAAGAGAATGGTATCAGAGATAAGTAGAACGCTGGTTTTCCTTTAAATGGTATTTGCAGAACATCAGAAAGGCACCTGTACTTGCAAATCACAACAATTTAAGCTTTATTTGTAGTTTGCTGTTATACTAACTTAAGCCTTTCATTCTTTGTGTACGTTGTTCGTTATTGTAGCTATTGTGGACAGAAACCTCACGTTTAGAAGACAAGCCAATGATTAACTGGTTTTAAGTTTAGTGAGTAACTTTCTATGCTTGTAACTACTGTTAACTTCAGTTGTATTATTTTTGTTTCTCAGAAGCATCCATTATGGGCCACTCCTGAGGGCATGATCTTCAAAGAAATTGGGCAATTTCTTTATTTATCTTGTCCTGTCAGAAAAAAGAGGAGTAGCATCCTTAATCCCACCCTTCTCTCAAAGATTATTTTTTAGCAATGCGGTATCTGCCTCTCTCCTATTCTTACAAGAGGCCCACAGTCTTTTGTAAATGATGACAAAATAAAAATGGTGAGTTTTGCATCTTGGTATGGCCTCTACATGAGCGAGAAGATTGTGCTCTATTAGGTTTCAAAGGGATTTGCACTTCTGCCTCCCTAAGTGTTTTGAAACATCACTACTATTTACAGCTGCTCTGAAGGGGGTAGCAACCTGTCCTCTAGAGAAAGTAGCAAAGCTCTGAGCCTGTGTATGTGGGGAGCAGGACATCTGACGGAGTGGTAATGCTTTTTCCAGAGAAGCAATGTTCATTGTTCTGCAGCACACGAGCCCCCAGCTCACTGATGCTGCTATGCTCCCAGGATCTGCACTCTAAACCCCACCATTTCCTTTTTTATTTATATGTAGCCTTTTTCCGTGTAGTTACCACTCCATCTTGAGCTGCTGACTCTGGCATGAAGCCCAAGTGAGTCAGCACAGTTAAGTTGATCAGCTTGAGCAGATGTTGCTCTGCCCTGCATCTTGCCTTATGTGCAGCACCTCTCTGGGGAACAAGTGCTCCTTGGGAGTCATGTGGGACACTGCATGTGGCTGATGGGCCTGCCTAGGTGGGGGCTTGCTTGAGATATGGCCATGCAAACACAAGGCAGGGGAGAGATGAGAAACACCTTGCTTATATCTGCTTGGGAGAATTAGTGTAGCCCTTCTTTCCAGCCCTAATAACAAAACCTGAGAGAGTTTTGTCAGAGGCTCAGGATTTGGCTGCACAGCCATAGCAAAATTAATACTTAAAAAGTTGTGTCTGTTTTTTGAATGCTGTTAATACTCAGGGGCCCACTTGGATGTGCACTGGGCACTGTGGGAAACTGCAGTCAATAATGAAGTTGACGTGTCAGTTTTGGAGTACTTTTAGATACATGATAAATGGAAATGTTGCTTGAACTTTGGTAGAAAGGGTTGTTGGCATTCAGCACAAGCTCGGCTGCTGCAGACAGACCTTATTGCTTTAAAGGAAGTATCTTTAGAGATAGTGATTTCAGAAGCAGAAGTTTTGCCATCAGTGATGGTATTTAATAGCTTTCTCCTCTTTCACGTGCAGTGATCTGTCGGTAAAGGATACCATATCAGCTATAAGACTTAAAGCAACAATTGTTTTGTGGGTTGTCAGTTGGCTGGAGACCATGTCATAAGAACTGATTGAAAAATAGCATTAAGGTGACTCCTGTAGCCTGGTTTGTCCTTCATTAAATTGAGCTAGTGGAGGCCTGTAGGATTAATGAGAAAAGTGGGCAGAACTGTGTCAGTAAGGGAGCTAAGAGATTGAGCATTGAACTAAAAATCAATGAAGCAGCAATGATTAGAGGCTTTTCAGGCTTCCCCATGCATGTTTATATCTAGATACATTTATAAAATGGTATATGATTTAATCGAAGTGCTGTAGATTATTATAAAGATTGTCCCATAGCAATCTGTATTGGATTAAGTATTTTAAAAGCTTTGCTATCATATGTTAACCCTTTTGAAGCTCTTTAGAAACAATAGTTTTTTTCTAAGTCATTATAGTTCTTAATTGTGGATCCTGTAGTAGTTCCCCTGTGAACTGCATTAACTTTGTCATGTCATTAACATCCAGTGCACTAACAATACTCAAAACCCAATGTTTATGCCTTTTTCTCCTGGCCTTGCTTAGAGGGAGAACTGGAAGAAGAATGGCTGAAGGAAGCAGGTCTGTCAAATCTGTTTGGCGAGAGCTCTGGCGACTCCCTGGAAAGCGTGGTGTTTCTGTCCACACTGACCCGAACCCAGAGGGCAGCAGTAGAAAAGCGAGTAGAAACTGTCACACAAACCATGAGGAAAAAAAACAAACATCACCAGATCCCTGATGTCAGAGATATCTTCAGGCTCCAAAATGATGCAAAGGGAAAAGTAGGTTCCTGATCATAGTTTTGTTTGATGCTGGCAGAGAGAAGGGAGGGACATGTATGGATGTGGGGAGAGGAGAGGGATGTATAGGCACAAAAGATGTATTTCCAGAAGATTTCTGTCTAACGTTTCCCTGATTTCCAAGGGAATTTTTTACTGAATTTATGGGAATAGCTTTGGTCCAGACTTGACATGACATTAAGCGCTCTCAGTATGTAGAAAGAATTATGTATATTGACCTTGAATTAATTGAAAGTGATGATGAATAAAACAACCACTCCATGGTCAAGTTATAAATATGAACTAATTTTAATGTAGAAGCAAAACTCCTGACAACAATCACCTGAAAAGCTACCAAAAGCCCACTTTTATCTTTGGGTAATAGTCCCGTACAGCCCTCCTGATGGGTCAGCTGGAAAGGGGCCAGTACTACTTCTTACTTACTGGTGCTCTTGTTTCCTTTCATTTTTTTTTTTTTCCCTTTTTTTCCCCCCAGAGAAAAAAAAAAAAAAAAAAAAAAAGGACATCAACCTGACCTGCTGTATTTTGGATAGGTCTTTGTGCCTGTCACCTGGGGACTTAGACCCCATACTAACTCCCAGCGCCTGTCTCTGTTAAAGTTTACGTGGGAAGTTGCTCTGATGGGTCTTGAGAAGGGCCCTGGTTTCCTCTTATGGGGTATCTGACAGGTCTTGAGAAGGGCCCTGGTTTCCTCTTATGGGGTATCTGACAGGTCTTGAGAAGGGTCCTGGTTTCCTCTCATGGGGTATCCCGCAGGAAAGGGGAAGGAAGGGAAATGGAGCCTAAGATTAGAATTCCTCTTCTGTGGAGAAGTGTGTTGTGTCCTGTCTGCTCCTCCCCAAGCAATGAGATCTTCAGCTGCAGGAAGAGTCTGAGCTGATTGAAGTGCATAGCTAGCTTACCTGACCTCAGCCCCGTCCCCCATTCTTGCTGCTGCTGTTCAGTGCAGTGGTAGCAATGGCAAATTTTAAGGAGATTTAACTTTCTCCTTTCCTTCAAAGCTTCCTCTCCTTAAGCAACTCCTTTCAAATTCAGTAGAGGTGAAATGTAGTGGGGGGAGTCTGTAAGCTCAGATGTATGTTCTGAAGGCACAACTTCCCTTTTACTGTTCTGCTTTGCATGTGGTTGCAGAAGGGATATTAACTGCATAAAAGCTTTCTGGGATCTGATTTCAAATTGACTACACCTAAAAATTACAAGATCTAATAGCAAAGCAATTTAGGTAAAATATTACGTAGCTTAAAGCAGTATAATTTCCCTTTCGAGTATGTTGTTTCAGTAAAGCACAAGAAATACTCATGTTCCTGCATTTACACATTGTAATGTTTGAAAATCATGTCACAGAGTGCAGTAGACTTGCACGTCTCTTAAACTGTGTTTTGATATTGATGACATCAGTGAGAATTAATGCAAGCAGACAAATATAAAACAGGTTAGAATATTTATTAAATATAGAAATAACTGGGGAGGAGGAGGGAGAAGAGGGGGAAACCTTCTAAAGTTGTCTCCTTCACTGAAATAATACAAGTGTAGGCCCTCAAACTGCATTCTTTTCTCCAGAGCATAATTATTCAGGAAGCATTGCTTGTAGTTATTCATCTGATCTCTGACAGAAATCCTGTAGTGAAATAGCTTCTACAACCTCCCTAGGTAACTTTTCTCAGTGCTTTGTTACACTCCTATCATTAGAAAGCTCTTTATGTAACAAAAGAGGACTGAAGCCATCTGCAGCTGTATGAAGTCATTCCAATTTAATAATAGCCTCTGAAAATCATGTAACCTCCTTCACCTGGAGGAAAGCAGGAGGAAAGGTAAAACAATAGTGTTGATGTTTTCCATCAATGCAGCAATTGTGTTGATGTTTCTCCTAAATTTCCTGCCATATTCCCAGAGAGAACCTGGACTTTTGGTACCTTGACAGCTTTCCAATCTTCTGCTCTGTGAAACAGTAATAATTTTTTGGGCACTCATGCTGTCTTCTTCCACCTCTCAATTGCCTTGGTTAAAAACCAAATAGTAAGTATACAGATTTGTGTTGGTAGGAGAAATCTTAAAAAACTGATTTTATTTTTTTTTTCTTAGTACGTATGGGGTTTTTAAGTGCTTGAGTAAAATACAAGCAAAAATCCAGGATGCTAATCAATCATTGTTGACTTGAGTTGCCAAAAAGTTAATAAAAATAATATGTGGGTAAAAATGTATATGGGTATATGTATACCAATTTGTATATGGGTATAGATTTTATGCATGTTCTGAAATAGTTTTTTCTATAGTAGGTGTCATCCAGTTCGTAGAATGTGCAAAAATCTTGAGACTAGGTAGGAGAATTGTAGAAAGAAGAAGATGGTTCAAATCCTTTCCTGTTCTTTCTCTGAAGTGTCGTGGTTTTGCTATGGGGGATCTAAGCTGTAAGCACAGATCTTAATGTCAGTCCACCCTGCAAAAGGGGTGGGGTTACTCTGTAGGGGAGGCAACCATGTAAGATTTTGCAAGAGGAAGAGATTTGGACAGTCAGTCAAAACGTCTCCTCCAGCTTCCTTTTCCGTATCTTCCCAGTGCAAGTTGTGGCTTTGGCTCAAAGACTATATTTTCTTACTCCTCATAGCTCTGGAAAATTAAGTATTATACCCATTTAACCTTTTAGGAAGAGGGGGATTGGACTTTTTTAATTACCTAGATTTCAGATCCCCTTAGACTTTGGCAAAGGATTTTCTACTGAAACACACAGGTGTGCTTCTGTATACACCTGAATTACAGGAGTATATGTTTGAATCCTGCTCAGAGTTCAAAGGAGTTTCTACAACCATACATTTGGGTTTTGTAGGAATGCCTATTTATTGTTCCTTTCTTAGGTGTGTGATGGAAATGAACCCTCAACCGGGAGACAAAGTGAAAGCAAAAATGAAATGCAAGATGGAACAAAAGGTAATGCCAAACAACTCTTTTTTTGTGTATGTGGTTTTTTTTGTGAGGTTTTATGTTTGTTTGTTTATGTGTTTTTCCCCTTCCTTTTGGCTTGTCCATTTTTCAACTTTTCAGTAAAAGAAAATGAAATTCTTATGAGAGACTGGTTCTGGCCTGCATTGTTGTAGTGTCAAATTTTTAAGTGTGGCTGTAGATAGTGTCCTTTGAGCCAGTTGGGAAATCTTGTTTGTTAGCAGTGATCATCTCATAATTGAGTCATCTGGGAGAAGTCTCCTTTCACAGCTTAGGCTTAGGTCTTTCCTGATCCTTAATTTATCCCTTCTGGTTTATCTCTGCTGTACAGCACAGGAAATGAACAGCATACGTAAGCTGTTAAAAAAAAAAGGACTGTAAACATCCCAAAAAAAAAAAAAAAAAGTGAGAACTGGCTATATAGCTTTAGCTTAAAATGAAACGTAAATAAGGATGGAAGAAAAAGGTTGTTTGCCTTTTTAAGGAAAATTGAAACGAAATAGCATTCTGCGTGCTTAGGACTGGGTTATGTTTCAACAGCATGGGATTACACAAAAGGGTTGCAGTACTCATGTAAGACCCTCTCACTGTCAGGTAGGTCAGAGCATCACAGAAGTCCTTCTGATTCCAGAGTTTCTGTTTTAAAATTCTGCATTGTTTGTGTGTTGTGGTTTGGTTTTTTTGGTTGGGCTTTTGGGTTTTGTTTTGGGTTTTTGTTTGTTTGTTGTTTGGTTTGATTTTTTTTTTATTTATTTTTTTTTTAATTCTTCTGGGGGACTGGATGGCACATGGATGTTACACTGAAGCTTATAGTCACTTAAATAGTCAAGCAGGCAGATCACGTTCCCCTCTGCAAGCTACTTATCTGTAATTAAGCCACCAAATAAAATTCAGCTCCACTTCTAGAATACTGACCAGTAGTATTCTGGAAAAAATGTTACTTTAGGATTAGACTTAGAAAACAGCACCAGCCAATACCAGGTGCATGGTAGTTAAAGTGGAGAGATGAATATAAACCAGCTCAGAATATTACCAGATCTGTGTTTCCAGAAGTGCTGTTAATCCCTCCCTCTCAGCAAACCTCACTCCAGTAAGAAGAGTAAAAAACTGTGAGGGCTGCCAGACTGCTGGTTCAGCACAAGGGAAGGAAGAGATGCCTGGTGCTTGTGTCAATAAACTGCACTGTAGGATTCAGAGCTGGAAAATTACTAAGCAATTATTACAGAGTTTTTGTCACATCTGGTTCTTTTTTCCAGTGGCCCTGATGAACCCTTTAGAAATGGGAAGTTGTGAAAGGCAAATCCCATATGTTAGCTCTGCTCAGCATGGATTGCAATGTGGATGGCAAATGCAGCCTGCTTACATCCTAGTATACTTCTGCTCTTGTCAACATGCTAAAGTGGGCTCTTCTCCCAAGATTGGAGCAGAAGGAAAAAATCACTTCAATTTGTAGTCAAATCGTGGAAGTTTGGTTGTGTTAAAAGCACTACATCTGTTCCAGTGCTGTGCTGTGATCTTTCCTCCAGAATGATGAGCATATTAGAGTTATACAAACAGTGAATTAATTTAAGGCAAAAAATAAACAATGCCTGATACTGCAGAGATACTAAATATTTATGAAATCCAAATACATGATTTTGAAATTGAAGCCCTCTTTGGCAGAGAAATAGTGCCAGTTTTACCTGAAAAATGTCTCAAATATTATAAAAAAATCCAAAGCTTAAATTGAGATGACTTAAAATTGTTAGCGTGAATTACTCTGGCCCTTCTCCAAAGGTGATGGCTGTGTTCCTAATTTGGTATTTGAGTGCTTCATTCTGAAGTGCTTCTGCCAGACTGAAGATGATAATGGTTTGGCCTTAGAGCATACACAGGTTGTGTGAACCTGTGCTCACAACTCCTTTCTTGCCAGTCTGACACACCTTTTTTCTTGCTTAAATGATGTAAGCAAACTCAAGGAATAATATGAAACCATTACATTTTTATTCTTTTTCTGCCTGATCCTGCTCAAACAGAATAGTTTAATGAGTTCCTAAGATTTTTTCTTTTGGGGGGGTAGATGCATATTTGAAGTTTTGTGGAAGGATCCTCACTTACTGGCTTTAAGTGCCTGTTTGTTTCATGTAGGTACAGAATGTGTCTACAGGAAATTAAAAGGAAATTCAGAATCATGTATTAACCCGTCGAAAGACATTGTCGTCTTAACAATCCGTAACACTCATAAACACCTCCAAAGCTAGCAATATGTTCAACAGCTACCACCGAGAAATAGTAGTTCTCTTCTGATGCCTGTGAAAAGGAGTAAATAACTGTGTTGGTTGAGGTGTCTCAAGAAATAAGAAGGAAAGAATAGGCAGATGAAAAGCTAAATGCTCATTAGCTTAAATAGAGAAACAGTGAAAGTCAGTTTACTGTGGGACTGCAGTTGTCCTGAACACACAGGATTAGTTACTATGGAAGAATGTTAGATAAAACTTCTGTATGAAGGCAACCCCAAAGCATAATGATCCAGCAAATGGGTGAAAGAATTGTGTGTACTATGTGTAACATAAGGGGAAAGAGCTGTAACGTTTGGTTCTTGATCGGAAAAAGAAGACTAAAATGTGGTCATATTCGTATAATTAAAAGAGTTTGTTTCTGCTTTTCATTTTACATGATAAATGAGGAATCTGTGGCCAGAGTGATAAGGTGTTAGTGAAAAGTTTAGTGAAAAGCTACTTAGAATTATCCATGAATTAACATTTTAGAGAAATGCTTTATTAGTAAAAAAAGAAAAAGTAAATCAGCTGTTCTACCTTTCCAATTATAAATTAAGATCTATCAGCACAGCTCCGTTGGGTTATACTCTAGACTCTCTAGCAAAACTAGGAAGTAGCAAGGTTGACACTTCTGATATTTCTATGTCTTATTAAAAAGAAACCCAAAATTCCACCCCACTCCTGAAGAATTCCCATCATTTTAGGTGGTCTTCAAATAGCACTATGAACCAAGGAAGGGGTATAGGATTAACTAATGTAAAATGTGGTTTCCACATCCTTATGGACAATATTTACATTTTTCTGTATCACACTTGTGTTTCTCTCATGAAATACTCCATTGTAGCTGACAGGTTGTCGGAACGCCAAAGCTGCTTCCTCTTACAGCTGCTTCCTAGTTAATGAATGCACAACAATAGGACCAAGGCTATATACAACCACACAGAAACTCCACACAACAGGAGCATTTCCAGACCTTCAAAACCACAGCATTACCAAGACATCTGCTTTACACAGTACCTTCCTATGACCAGAGGACTGAAATAGGAGCTACTGCTTTTTTGTTTGTTAACATCAGATCCCTCCGAGCCTGAGCTACTGCTTTTTTGTTTGTTAACATCAGATCCCTCCGAGCCTGATAGGAAGCATGTAGGTCACGTATAGGCTACATTAGCATGACAAAAGTCATAGGGAGACTGGAACTGTTTTCCTTTAGTTTTGGATTCATTAAACAATTTATGTGATATATACAAATATACACACATGCAAGCCAAAAGTCAAAACCAGGGATGAATTTGACCTTGGGTATGTTGTGTCCCTGCTCATGGCAGGGGGGTTGGAACTAGGTGATCTTAAGGTCCTTTCCAACCCTAACTATTCTATAATTCTGTGTTTGGTTACTGAGGTCTCATATGTCTCTTTACCAAAAGGAGCAGGTCTAGTTTCAGGATCAGCTTAATCTTTACTGTATGCCTCAGATGCCTTTCAGGGTCTATGGAAAGTGAGCAGAAGCCATTCTGGAAAGAGCAAGTGATGAGTAACACACACAATAGGCAAAATTTGGAAATGTTTTATTCTGCTTCTCATAGCATTGCTTGGTTGTAAGTAGAGTCAAAGTTTTGACTCGTATTTGCCTTCCCTCTCTTGAAGTGTCTCAGCTCTAAATCAATTACGTTGACTTTGGAGTGGTTGATGTCTTACTGGAGAGTGGCTGTGGTGGCTGCAGACACTTGCCTGTCTCTCAGGTCCCCTGAGAGTTTGGTTCCAGCAGACTGAGATTATTTTCAGGGCTCGCTCTAAAGAATATCAGAGCCTAGTCTTGGTTTTATGTCTTTCATTTAGACATAGATATGATTCAGAAAAAATTCAAGTTGGAGTCATTTTGTTTTTTAAACTTAGTGCTTCATATGTTGTTTGGGTTGCGTGCTTGCAGCTCAGCTCTTTTGCAGGCCACTGAAAGTACCAGTGTAGAGCAGCACTTCGCTGACATCTTCTTTCTTACATCAGCCCTGCTTCAAGGTCAAATGTTGCTGTAACTGTTTCCTAGGGATTTTTCTCTGTCTTGACGTAGCATAGTTATTCCAGGCCATACAAAAATTTCTCACACTGATATAAAGAAATTAATCTATTACATGACACAGTACTTCTCTGCCAAAGCATATGCACTGCTCAAGGTTCCCTTCCTCAACTCATGTCCATTTCCATCCCACGTTTCCTGCATTTCTGTATGTTAGCTTTGACCATGCTGTGGCTTCCTGTGAGTAGGAGCCAGTGGCAGGGTCATGGTGCTTGC